AAAACACAGCTCACCCTCACCTCCTCCTCAAAATCCAACCACCACAGATGCAACACCACCTCCTGCAACATCCTCACCTGCTCTTGCACTCCTCTGCTGGGATTTGCCCTGGTCCTGACTGCACTGTTCTGCAACGCCATTGCACAACCTCGCCTGGGTGCTCTCAAACCTTGCTTGGTTAAACACGCCTGAGAAAACCCCCTGAACACTATGTGTGTATTTGACTGGACAGGTAGGAGGGTGCTTGAGGAGGGGTCCCCACACACGTTCATATCCATAAGTATCTATGTCCACAACATGAGCATTGCTGGAGAGAGAGACGGGATTAGGTTGCAGTCAGCAGAGTGGGACACGTGGCTCTCCCCATGCTGCTTCTCTTGGAGGCAAGAGCCATGGCACGGAGCGAGGGTTGTCCAGGCTGAGGAGGTAAAGCTGGTTGCTGGAGATCTGAATATCGAGGCAGGAGAATGGGGAACAGAAACCAGGGTGGGATTGCAGAGGGGGGGGAAACGGGTGTGTTTGAGGAAATGGAGTTCAGGGTTTGAGGTTTAGTTTTGCATGCGAGTATCACAGACAGAAGCAGGGGTGGATGGGAATAAAAAAGGTGAGTACATGGAGGTGGGAAGGGACCAGAAGGGAACCCCAAGCACTGTAGATCTTGGGTGCACTCTTTGCTCAGCACTGAAGGGCTCCTGTCCCCAGGCAGACCCCCAAGTCCTAGGCTTGCTCTGGCAGTCCCTGGGCTGCCCAGGGTGATGCATTCGGAGCAGCTCTATTTACAGACCTAAGAAATGGGTGTTGAGTAGGGGATTCCTGCACTTGGCTTAGAACCTGCTCTACTGGGCTCTGATCCCTGCCATGCCATCCCCAGAGGCGTCTCAGATGGAACAGCTGCTGGGTCAGAATTAGGAAGGATTTTTTCCTAGCCATAAGAGTCCCTCCACTGCTTTTCTCTCCAGTGAAGGAAATCCCACAAAGCAGGGACCTGACGCTTCCCAGTCCCAGGCTCCCTCCCCGGCCATCCTTCCAACAC